TCTACAGCTCAAGCATTTGCAAAAACAAAGGTTTGCATTCTGGGGTTTGGATTCTTTACCATTCCCTTTACAACTCTGAGACTACCTTCAGGTGTAACCCTATGCACTGCAAAGATTAGTGCAGACTTCTGCCAGCTCTCTAACACTATCTGGCATGTGGTGGACAGATGGTGAACACATGGGTGTTAGAAGGCCAGAGTGCTGTGCCAAAGTTTCTCTTGCCAAAGATTTGAAATGCTGCTGTTCCAAAGGATTATGTAAGTCTCCACCTTACTACAAGCACTACCTGATCCTTGGGGTAATGGGGCAAGGCACTGTGGAATTGCCAGTGGGCTATAATGCAGTTAAACAAACAGCACTGATTTGCCTTAGAGAAGCCATTCCTGAACTACACCGTCCCTGAAGTGACCTGCTCACTGCTCCAGGGCTGGGAGATTAAGGCAACCTTTAGTTGTTCTGGTCCAGGAAGATAAGTGAAAAAAAGCATACAAATTGCTCCACCTGCTAGCTTTTGGGAAGCACCTGGTGGAGCACAGACTGAACTTGCAAAGGCAAAATGGGGCCACGCATACATTGGAACTCTGTTTGTCCTAGGTTAAATGAGACATAAATGGATGGGAAGGAGCTTTGCTAATACAATTCTTGCAGAAAAAGAAAACAGGACGGTTTAGTTTTCTCAGTCCTAAGGAAGATCGTTGACCAGATGACAGCTAAGAAAAATGAAGTTTCTATACTTTTACGTAATGGTATGCAATATGTTATGACAGGCCAGCCTTATTTGACTGGAAAGGGTATCTATCTATCTATCTATCTATCTATCTATCTATCTATCTATCTATCTATCTATCTATCTATCTATGCTGTTAATCCCTTAACCACTAACACTTGCCTTTGGAAGTATTTCAGTTGAGAAGAGATAGTGGAGAACAGCAGGCAACTGATCAGAAACCTCTAATGAACATGATGGTTTAGATAATATTGTGAACACTGTAATTTCAGACATATTTTTCATATGAGAAAGACTTTTGCCTTCCACAAGTAAAGTAAATTCATGTTTGACAGAGTTCAGCAGCTGCTCAGGAAATTGTTTAAAGCAGGAAATGAAGGATGGGTTGGTTCCAGGTCCTGGAGAACCAGCAAGCTTTACCCTATCTGGAAGAACTGGCTACTCTGGAGAAGCCCCAAACAACAACAAAGGCCCTCAAGTAAAATTACTGTAAAGTAACTGTAAAGTAAAAAAAAAATTAGCCCAAATGAGCAATTGAATTTAACATCTGTAGTCCTTACATTATTTCACCTCAGTGTGATCTTGTCTTCACGCAAACTCATTGAAATGGAGAATTGGACAACTCTGGGTCTCAACAGTTAGATGATTTCTCCAGAACAAGGACAGGTAACACAGCTTTGCTGTTCAACAGCATATTCATGAGATTAGTTAAGAATATCCTCTCTTCCCCTCAGTTCTTCCTGTACACTGTGTTCCTAACAGAGCAATCTACCAATGCAACAGAGACCATATTTAGCCAATGGAATACCAGCCTATTCTCAAGGTATTATCAAATGCCATTAACTCCACTTTTAGGACTTGTCACAGAAGATAATTTCCTTGATTTTTTAAACTTTCAAACTTATTCTTCAAGTACATGACACTCAGTGTGGGGTGAGACATGCAGGTACTACCTGTCACACCTACTCTTATGTAGTGAGTGTTTGTAGCCATGAATTAGAGAGCTTTTTTTCCTGCTGAAGTGAGGCAAGAACCACTTTTCTCATCTTGTTTTAAAGAAACACCTCCTGTTTGCTCTAATACAGGTGGCCTCTTAGGTCAAATGTACAAAATCTTGGCCTTTTACCCAGATTGTTACAGCTCTGTCATTGCACTGTTTTTCCTTAACTGATACTGGATGATCACCTGCTCTCAGTTACTCGTACAGCTTCTTTCAAGTTGATGGGCTTGGTGCTTAAAAGTGTAAACAAAGTGGACCTGGGTGTGAAACCTAAGTGCTAGTTTTGACAAATGACACTCTGTGGAGAGGGGACTCAGCTCAGAAACAATTTTTTACTTGCCTGAACAAAGATTACATTTCACCAAGTTTCTCCTTGAGTGACTCCTGCTTAGCTTGTTATTGTTTATCTGAACAGCCTCCAGATTTAAGAGGGGAACACACCCTGTAATTTAGCACCCGTCTCCCTCAGGGTATGATTAGGCTGGGAGCTGATGAAAAAGTTCTGACTTCAGCTCCCATTATCCTGAGGAATTTCCGGCTGCAGAGATTTTGATTAGCAGACACTCGACACTACAGTGCAAGAATCAGGTATGAGCTCAGGCAGAGTGAACCATCCCCCCTCACTGGTACTGTGAACAGCCCCACTAACCTCTTTCTCACCACTCATGTGAGAGTTGTTTGACTCAGTTGTTTGACTTTTGAAGCTTCATGAAAGGACTTCTACTTCCATTGCCAACATTCATGAGCAAATCCCATGCTTGGATCCTTTCCAGTGAACCAAATTAAGCCACCTTTCTCCAGCCCTGAGCATGCATCACTCCAGTGTATGTGACAGAATCCCAAAAGGGTGAGAAACCACAGTGCTCATCCACATACTACATGTTTTTTGGAGAGGCTTAAGGCATGCACATCCTCAGCGCTCTTCAAAGCACAGCAGCTACCCAAGGTATAATGTTTGTGGTGAATGGGCTCAGTTCTGCTGAACAGAGATGCCTAGTGTAATTTGAGTTGCCCTTGGATATCTGAGAAATCCAAAGGGAACTGTCACACATTAAATATATATATATGCTCTACCAGACACCCAAGTTATTGTGAAGGGGAAACCAGAAGTCAGCCAGAGTACTCTCGGATGTCTCAGATGGTGTTGGACAAAAGGCAGCAAACATTAACTTGGCACACAGAAAATTATGATTAGATACAAGGAGTAAAACATTTACTGTAAGGGTGGACAAACACTACAGCAGGCTGTCCAGAGGTGGGATCTCCATCCTTGAGGTGTTCAAGAGTTGACTGGACACAGCCTTGAGCAACCTGATGTAATCACTATTGCCTTGAACTGAAAACTACTGGAGGTCCCTTCCAACCTAAATTATGCTACACTAGTCTACAAACATCTCCACTTGCTGTAGAAATCAGCATAACATCTAGCAAACTGGCAGAGCATCAGCCATGCTTCATGAGTCCTTTTACCTATATTTGAATTCTTGTGCCGAAAGGACTAAGGCCTCAAAGCAGGAGTGCATCACCACTGCTGAAGCTCCTACATCTCAGGAGTTGAAATTCTAGGCTTGAGCTCACAAATACAAATGAGCCACTAAAATGCATAAAAAGAAGTTAATAAAGTATTCTGCTATTTCACTTCCCAGCTGAGGAGATCCCATAGCAGTAACACAGCCAAATCAAAGGTACAGTGTTTGACAGATTATCTGTAATCTGAAATGCATACCATGTACATACTTTTTGTTTTGAGCGTACCAAGAGTAAAGTCAACACCCATTTGTGGGCTCTGACACATGAACAAGCTGTCACAAGGCAGTAAGTTACAACCTATCAGTTGCTCTGTTCTTGCTGTGCGCAACACTGCTCCACACAGGTTCACCAAATGCCAGGTAGTAGTTCATGTGCACTAACTTGTAAACCTGTCAATGCCTTTTGTCTCTCCCATCTACATCTGCTGCCTGCAGGATTGCAAGGCAGCTCATTTCAAGGTGAGGGTAACCCAGAAAAAAGGTTAACCCTTGAATCAGGAGATAAAAAGAGATGCTCAGAGTCTAGTCATGCTCTTTGTGATATCATACAATTGTGATTTACATCATATGTTAGTCTGGATTACTCCTTCCATCTCTCTCTTTCTAAAAACTTCACAGGGCTTTTGCTGGTTATTTTTTTCCATGGAAACTGTGCGTAACCTTTGGTCTGTTTACCATATTTGTACACATCTGATGTGATGACCTTTACTGCTGCCCTGTGTCAGCTGTAAATAGAAAAGACAAGTACAGCGATATTCAATTCCGTATGAGGTAAAAAGCCATCTTTGTTTTACAGTGTGTACTCTTTGTATGGTACTCCAATTTTTCCGTATTTTCTAAAGGGCTAATTTGGTCCATTTGCCATGCCAGATGTGCAGAAGTATTTTAAATATTCAATCAGAATCACAGTTGTTGTGAAGCAGATAATCACAGACTTGGCTTGGCTATTATTTTTTTTTAACTGTACTGTTCCTGTGAATATGATAAAACAGAGGCTTGCAAAATGCAGTCTCCACTTCACAGTCTGGGTCCTGGCCCAGACTTGTGGTTTACAAAGCCTTCTGCTGAGTGACAACAAAACAAATTATGCAGTCTCCCTTATGCCTTAAATTTAATATCTCATCTCCTGCTCTCTAATTCAAACCTTCACACTGCACCATGGTTTCCTTTGTAATGAGATAACTCTGAATATTAAGTTTGCATTACAGAGAGCTATTATTCACATGCCTGACATCATTACATATGGGACAGTAATCAATAAAACATGGTTTGAGAGGGATTGGATGGCTTGTGGGCATGGGGATCAGTCACCCAAGCCTCTAAGTTTCTGAAAAATATCCATTCAAAGTCAGTGGTGACCAACTGCAGAACCTTGATGAAAGCCTCAGGCAGCGAGGGCAAAGTTTGAACAGTCATGTGTTCACTGTCTGAGGTGGTCCCATCATGTCACTGCTGAGCCACTCGGCTAGGGTGGAGGGACTGGACAGGTGCACAGTCTCTGCTCTACAGACTTGATTTGAAGACAAACAAATGTCCCTCTGCAGCCCTGGCACCCCAGATCCAAACCCATTTAATTTGAATTCCAATCCACTCTGGCTGAGTCAGCCTGGCAGATTTCGCTGTCTGTTCTCTACCAGCTGTCAAAAAACAATCTGCCCTGCAGAATCAAGCCCAGATGACTGTTCACTGTGAGAGGTTTATAGGCTCTGTGAAGCCTGACATATCACATGTGCTCATGTCCTACCTCCATCGTTGTCTTTCCCATCGCCGCATGCCGTCTCCATGGAAGTGTCACAGCCAGCTCCTCTCCAGCCCAGCTGGCAGACACAGTGCCAGCCGTTCATGTCCAGAGTGCATCTGCCATTGCCATTGCACAAGCCAGGGCATCCCTCTGCAAGGCAAACAGCCACACGTTTAAACACACTCGAAACACAAAGCAACACAGCCTGGAAAGGGCCTCATTAAACAGCTCTTTCCCTTTGCCTTGAGTTGATTTCTCCACTCCCACTTGGTGTCTTCCCACCTGGAATGAACCCACTTTGGTGTCAGGATGGTGGTGATTACTCAACGGGCAGCTGCTTCTGGCTCTCCCAGGAGGTCCTCACAGCATAACCATACTCACTGCACTGAGGGAATGGTGAGTTTCAGGAGGGCACTGAGATATTCCTGCTTCATTGGTTGTAAAAGAAATGCAGCACATTGCCCTCTGAGCCTCTCAAAACATTTGCTATGTAAGACTAGTACTTGGGGTTACCTAAATTGCATTTGGGATTAAAGTTCACAACACCCATCAGGATAAAACATCTGGCTTTCAATAATACTGAGATCTCAGACTGATAAGCATTCAAAACCAGCTGGAAAGGGAAATGTAGAAAATACTTGGAAGCAATACAATTTATTTACTGTAGTAATTTTGGGAGGGATTAATCTCATCTGGTTCAAATTAATCTAAAACTGAGATACCTTCAACTCTCTGTAGTCAGCAGAGAAACAAACAATCCCAGGGCAGAAGTCTCCTCATGTGGGTTTGATGCACATGGTGATGAGCTAAAGCATGCTCTGGAAACATCAGTTTCTCCCCAGTGACTAGAGAGAGTCCAGCACAGAGGTAGGCATTTTACTGGTGATAAAATTTAGTTAGGGAGGATGAACACCAACCTCCCAGTCTGCTCACTACAGTTTGGCTTTCTCATCTGATGACCTCCTGCTGAGATTTTTGTACTTCCCCCCTACCCCACCCCTTCAAGAAAATAGCAGAGTAATTTCCACAGTAAGCAGTGGTGTGAAGGAGGCTGCTCAGCTTAAACCCTTCTGGGGGCTTTTTACCTGCAGAGCTCAAAAATCTTTACCACCAAGCTGTCAGAAATGTAAGAGACACTTAACAGCTTAGGAAACTGAAGTACAAGGGACTGAAGCGACTGTGAAGGTCACTCAGCAGGACTGATTACACCAGGGAAACAATTCAGTCTTCCTAAGCCCTGTTTTAATGCTTTCTCTATTTATATGTGTGTAGTGCTATCCTGCCACATAGTTTGAGTTTTTTAAGGCTCTCAGCTTTGCAAGACAGGTTTGTGAACCTGTGTGAATGATACAGATCTATCCAGTGCTAAGGGACAGTGAAGAGGTGTGTGTTGTCTCGACACCTGTTTGACCACATGATGTGTGAGGGTCTCCCCAGGGCAGAGTTGGGACCCCACCTAAAACATCCCATGTCATAGTGTGACCTGCACTGGGGAAATGGGGCTTAGAAATGCCTTTAAAACAAAAAAGTTGTTTCACAGGGAGTTTTTAAGTTCACATAACCTTTCCCAGTGATAAGAAAAAAATGTTTTTAGGACTTTTTTTTTTTTAACAAGTGACCGATTTACAGACACCAAAAGCAAAAAGGAACAAAGGTGGCAAGGGAAAGTCCTTTAGAAGGATCTTAAATATATTTCTCATTTACAAACAAATTTGTTGGAATTTAGTCTTTTAAAATGTGTATTCTGGGATGTACCAAATAATGTGTGTGCATGTGTCAGCATACTATTGTGTGTTTTGGTATTTATACACTATATTAGTATTTATATAATACAGAAGAGCCATTTCTAGGCTAGGCTACTTGAAATTCTTCATTTCAATGACCTGCCTTTGGCTATTTACGACACTGCCAATCTTTGAAGCATTTAATCAGATTTTTTCCATGCTACAGCTAATTTATATATTTGATTCCTTTACTTACTTTCAATACAAGCTGAAAGTATTCAACAATTTTGAGAATGAAAGACGAAGAAGTGTAAATAGCTTCCCACAATTACTTGGCTAGGTAGGTAATCCCATTCTGGAGTAGATATATCCAGTTTGGATGGGACCATACTGACAGTAGAGATAGGAGTTTTTCCCCCTCTCTAAAAATCACAGAATAATAGAATGGTTTGGGTTGGAATGGACCTTAATGGTCATTCAGTTCCAATTCCCCTGCCATGGCCAGGGACACCTTCCACTAGACCAGGTAGCTCAAAGCCCCATCCAATCTGGCCCTGACCACTTCAAGTGATGGGATATCCACAGCTTCCCTGGGCAACCTGTGCCATTGCTTTAATTTGTCTAGATGAAAAGCGTGAAGAAATCTTGCTTTATGTGTGTACTGGATGGTTCCATTAGAGTGTGTCTGGTGCGTCACCACTGAGCAGGCCTCTTGTTTTTACTCCTTGGACTCTTTAAAACCTTTGCTAAAAAGTTCTCTTCTATCCTACAGTTGCAGAGACTGGGCAGAACAAAAGTTGGCCTGGACAGGAGAGAAGTGAGAACCAGAAAGAGCTGAATGAAGTTGAAAACACCATGATCTTGTCTCATGTGAGAAGTGCCCAGGAAAAGTAAGGGAAAACAAATGTAACTATAAAAATGATGAGCTCATATAGAACTACATGTGCTCTACTCCCCCAGGCTTAGGAAGAAAGAATTTGGAGTAGCAGAAAACAGGTGATATAGTTTGGATGAGGCACCTTTGACATCTGAGGAAAAGGGAAGAGCTTGGTTTGTCTCTCCTTGGACAATAGTGGCTGAAAAGACTATGATTTTTTTTTCCAGAAGTTAATGAAACACATAAACATTGAGAAGGGAAAACTTAAAAGTTATTTAAGGTAAAGAGAATATTGCTGGCACAAAAACAAATGGACATAAACCAAGTATGAATAAATTCTGTCTGGAAATTACGAAAAAAATAATTTGCAAAGATCAAAGGAATTAAGTTTTGGAGCAGATTCCCTGTGGGAGTGTTAAGGAGAAGATTCTTCAGTTACTTTTCCATAGAGCTTGGTAAATTTATAAAAAGTTTTACACAATGTGCTCTTGCCAGCAGAAGACTAGACTCTAACTGAGGAGACCCCTTTCAATCCTATGTGTTTGAATTTTGTGTGCAATTCATTGTCTATATGAAACATGTTTGAGAGTATTTTAATGGACTCTCATCTCAGGATTTACTCTGAAATCTTCTTATCTGGACCCAGAGAAAGTAAGCCAAGCATTTCAGAAAGAGGACAAGCAGAGGAAAATCATTGGTCAGGAGAGGAGGGAGATGAGAACAAGTATCTCATAAGACTATGCCTTCCCAAAATATCTATTCCTCTTCTTGAGTACTAAGGGAATCCAGGGTGCCCTGATGAGAGAGATAAGCATCTGCAGATACCTAAAGTAGGGTAACTCCTACCTGCAATTTTATACTCCACTGTCTTGGTACCCATTAAGCCTAGAAAGTAAGTTTGGCCCGTCCCACTAAAGAGAACATAACCTCTGGTTCTTAGTAGATAAAGCTCTTCCAAGGAGCCAGAAAAAACTTTTTCCTTATGACAGAAATGGCTCTTCACAGGTACAAGAACACAGAGATTTCCAGTGTTTCCATTACATTACACAGTTCATTAAAATTTCAGTGCTGTGAGGATTAAACTGAACCCCTCTAATATCATGGTTTGGTAGGAGATCAGACATTTTAAAGATGCATACAGAAAGCAAACCATTAATAGGAAACAAAAAAATATACAGCAGCTGTTATAGGACTTGGGCCTTCAGAAAGTTAGAAGACAACAGAGATGCGTAAGCCAATATATTCAGGAGAATGGCCCTATAAGTTCTACCATTTCTGAAGTGGCTCACTGCACAGAGACTTGACCATCACTTACACTACACAGATAGGATGGTACAATATTCCTCATTCCACAAACAGTGCACTTCAAAGCACATGAAAAGATGATATAAAATAAACTTTATCCTCTCCTTTCCCCCATGCTGAGGAATAAAGCAAAGAGATCATCTTGTTTCCAAATTGCCTCTGAATGTCACCACAGCGGGATGGCTTAATCCTCAGAGATTTACAGCACCATAATCTTGCAGCTCTGATTTCTCATAGCTAGAAGTCACCAATGATCCATTATTCCTGTTTGTGGTGTTAACTGTACTTGGGTGACTAAGAGAATTAAATACATGAATAGGGCATTTTAGGAAAAGGGTGAGGAAACCCTTTATGTGAGTTTCAAACTTAAGCACATGTAAGTGATGCTGAAAGATTCTGGAGGGCATTCAAAAAGATGTTCAATCTGCCATGCAAGTGAGAGAACAGATAGGGAAGCAATATAAAAAGTGGGTTAATTTTGAAACAGACAAGTAGAGACCATCAGAGTCAATGAAGACTGTCAACAGAAGTTATCCTGCAATTTTTAAGACTGATGGTAAAATAATCTCTCTTAATGATCTGTACAGTTAAAGCCTTCTTTAATTAGTCCAACTATAAGCAACGTTTACTGGTATTTTTCTTCAAGGCAAACCTCACTGCCACTTGAAATAAGACTTAGAAGAAAAGCTATTTATTATCTTTCCTTCATTGTCAGTAGGAGAGCACTGATGGATGTTCTTATGTAGTGCCAGACAGCAGTTGAGCTCTGGGACAAGAAGGACATGGCTGAATGCAACACGTGAAGGTGCAAATGCCTGAAGCTTGAGAGAACAACAAATGCTGTGAGACCTGCAGAAGCTTCTCTAAGACTAAAAGCAGGGAGTGAAGCATTAGCTGATCCCTACAAACTACAAAAGCTTGTCACAAAACCAACTCAACTCCGAAACTGCCACTATGATATTCTGTGGTGACAGGAATCCAGAAATCCTTAATCAGATGTATCCTCTAATAGGAAGGTTAAGAAGTTGCTGACCAGAGCTCCTACACTTCTAACTATACAAATAATGGAACTATCTTTGGTCAGACCTTTGATCTCACTTGCTCTCACATTTCAGAAGCAGCCCTTGCAGCCACCCCTGAATTCTAATGTTGTTCAGCAACTTTAAAATTCAAACTAGCTGTTGAATTTATATGCGTCACTACAGTGTTAATGTGGTTAATGATTATTTTGGAAGAGTAAGATTTGCTATTCAGTAACAGAAATTAATTAAGCTCATATACCATCAGATCCAATGATATTCTGGATGGAGAAACTCTCTCTAAAATCAGCATCTCTTTTAATTATTATTAAAATAATAGGCACCTCTTCTCATTTTAAGCATTACCAGTGTTAATTAGGCTTTAGTTTAGAAGACTCTACTCTGAGTCTAGTTAGAGCTTCTTGGTTTAATTATGCTGATGTTTGCTATTAAAACCTGCCCTCCCATTTAGGAACAATTCTACGTCTTCTCTGACTGACTGGTTTATTGTAAAGCAGTAGGAAAGATTCAGTAGTAAATCAGGCTCACCCTTTGACAACAGGATTACTGGGAAGGGATTTCAACCAGAAAGATGTTAATAATTAAGAAAGCCAAAAGGGCATGAGTAATTTAGTTTTGAAAAATGCACACCATGCAGTTAGCCAAGTAGAAAACCATGTACTTTTAATGTTTCAGGTATTGCTAATCTTTCCAAAAGCAGCCATGCATAGCAAGAGACTATCTTTTATTCTTAGTATGTTACTTAACCTGTTACCTACTGAAAGGCTCACTAAATGTAATGTGTCTTTATTATTGGGCATAAAGGTGAGTCAAAAAGCTATCTAGAGGAAAAATGACAGCTACAGAAGACTTAGTTAAAAAAACTGGGCCACTGAATGGGCAAATCAGTTCTGAGGGTTCCTTGCCAGGCTCTGCAGGTTGATTTTTTCTTCTCTTCTATGCCCTCAATGCTTATCTGCTACTTTTTGATGCAGCCTTCTCCAATACACATTGAGATGAAAAGGAGGAGTCTTGGGGATTTGAAATGCAAAACACTGAGTTGTGGAACATTAACAGCAGGTTACAATCACACTTCCTAGTGATGGCCTGTATCTTCCTCTGAGGATGCCACAATGATTACTTCATAAGGGCACAATAAATGTCCTCTTTCCCTAATCTAAGAAAGAGAATGTACTTTTCCCTCCTAATTTAAATAAAGTCAAGCACATTTTTGTGGGTTTTTTTTGGTGGTTTTTTTGTTTTTTTTTTTTTTTTGTGTGGTTTTTTTTGGTATTAACAATGAGAGAAAACTAACTACCACTGTAAAATCAACTGATCCATAAAGAGGGGTCCAAGGACAGCTACCAGCTGCTGCATTATACTGAAGATGGAAGTATTTAAACTATGGACATTTCCTCATCACTAGTATTTGTCTGTTCAAACATTTTGCCTATTTGCAGTTGTTCCTGAATCTGCCTTTAGAAAAACACTGAATTGTAAATTCACTTAGAGAAGTGAAATCAGTAAGGCAACCATGTTTCTTGTCACACCACATAAGCCTTTTATAGCAAAGGCTTAATTTTAACTGTTCATGGGGTTAGTACTTGAGCATATCTGCTCTTCATCCTCAGCCTCTCACAGCTGTTATTTTTGATTGCTCAAAACCTGAAAAGAAGGTTAGTACTACAGAAAAAAAATGATTCATTCAACCTGATTTTTTGGTTTGTTTAACCAGCAAACATATGATGCTTGCATGGTGTCAACACTGTGTTCCTGTTAGTGTCAAATCAGCCATGTAGAAAAATATTTAAGTCCAGCTCAATCATATTCATTGTCAGATTGTTGTATTTAACCATATGCATGCTATTTCAATATTTTTCAAAAGCTGAGTGCATTGTGGAACTGTCTGATTATATTAAAAAGTCCTGAAGTAATTTAGTTCATTGTTCTGATTAACAAATAACTGTATTTTTTCTTTTAAACAGCAGGTGATCCCTACTCTCTAAGAGTTCAATTCCTTTTCCTCTTTGTTGAAGAAATACCTGGGTCCTAGATTTGTGTTACACTTACAAACAGGACCATAAGGTTGGATTTTGTTGTAGTGTACATTAATGCAGCATCACTGATTTCTACAGATTTTCCAGATTTATGCAACCAGAGGTTTTGGGATCATAACATTTTTGCATTACCAAAAAAACCCCAGTATATAATTACTTAAAGCTCCTATGTAAGAGTTGGCAGTTGTGGATCAAAAACATGAAGACTCCACATAGAAAGTGCACTCACCTGTGTTACAAAATGGACCATAGACATTTAATTAAAACACATCATTGTACAGGGCTCCTGCTTTATTCACAGACACTTGTTGTCTCCTGACTTGCCTTACCTGAGTGGGAAGGGTGAGGATGAGAGATGATTTGGAGGGGAGGGCAAGGACAAGGGAATGGGTAGGAACACTGATATGATGTTAACACAGGGTCACAGCACTTACAGAGGTATTTCCTACGTAAATGACTGGAAAGTTCACCCTTCCAGACATTGGAGACCACTTTGATGACAATGAGGAAGAGATGCAACCTCAACACAGCATGTTCACGGTGCATTTTTTAAAAAGAAACACAAAGACAATAGGAAAAATAGGAAGGAAGAGCATACCTTTCACTACCTTATCCAGATAGTGAGCTTGGGAGATAAAAGACAGGACATTTAAGGTAGGATTGAATAAGTGCATTGCAGCTTACTACGAGACTGTGCAGGTGCTAGAAAGGCAAAGGAGAGTTCGCTGTGATATGAAAAGAAAAACCTTGATTATGAGGAGAGAAAAAAGGAAGAGTGGAGCACAGTGCTCCTCAGTCAAATGGCTTGAGAAGGCTGTGTTAAGGCATTCAGTCATCTTTGCTCATTAAGATCAGGAAGAAAAACAGGAAAGTTCTATATATATATATATTTATGTGTTTACATATATATATATATAGGTATATATGTGTGTGTATATATGTATATCAGGATATTGCAATGCTCTGCTCATTTGCAAGTCTCTCTCCATTTTACTGACTTCTTTGCATTTCATCAGGAAAGCAGAGACATTTGAAAGTCCTCCACATTACCTGATTGTCTTATATTTTTCCATGCAAAAAGGCACAGTTCCTTGACCTTACCAGACTGGTACAGGCTTTCCCCTGGATCTTTCTAATGGTAATATACTGCATTTATGCAGCATTTTCTAGCCCCAGATCAAATTACTTTACAAATATTAAATTAACCTCATGGCAACTATACTGGATAGACAAGTATTAATATATTCATTTTAAGGAGTGCTAAAGAAAAAGTAAAAAAGAAAGTTATAGATGTCATGGGATCAGTCATGTACCCAATTCCTGCAGAACACTGATTTGGAAAAGCACCTTATTGATTTTCTGGTGTCGAGCAGAAGGCTGGTGGCAAAGATGTCCTGCCTCAGAGAGCCCTGGTTCATGCCAGCAGGCGGCACTCTCTGTCCTAACACCCGCTGGTCTTTATTAATAAAAGAGAGGCTCTGAGTCTTGCATTTCTCTATTTCAATACCTACTTAAACATTATTTCCCTTGTTCTCTTGCCTGTTCCCTGCAATCTCAGCCTCAGTTGTGTCCTGGTAGTTTTTGAAGAAGTTTTTGTTTCTGGTTCATTCAGGCAGACTGTCCTCCTGGGAGGTCATGGCAGTTGCAGGAATTATTTTTCCATCCTGTGAACGTAATGGATCTGTATAGGAACTAAGTGGAGAAGGCTGTGAGAGCTCACCTAGAGTGGGGCAGTTATGAGGCTTGTTAGCTCAGGCAGTCACTGTGCAGCTGATGGCAGTGAAGGCAGCTGTCAATGCCAACCATGCGACAGTATGTATCAATGTTTTCTTGTAATTTGAAAAATAATGGGGCTTCCTACAGGAGCAGCAGGAATATTTCTTTTCTAAACCCATACAGGCTATACTTCTGGCATTAAAATATAATCTTATTCCCTACAGACACTACTTTGGAAACCCTGCGGGCATGTGGGACATGCTGAGAAATTATGCAGGAGTTCAGAAGAAAAGCTACTTTTCTAAGGTGTCCCTGCACTGAAAGGCACAACCACACTCAGCTCCATGTCACCACCCTACTCCTGGAAGCCACTTTAAAACTGCTAGGGAGGAGCTCCTGTGACCATACTTCAGTGTGAAAGCCCCCTTGTTTCACCAGCCTGAGCTGACTTGGTTTGCTTTGTCTGAAACACAATGGGAATAATAACGAGCGCTTCTCTTGGCTTACAGAGAGGGAGAGAAGGAACAGAGAAGTAAGAGATGCTGCAAGCAGGTCCTTGATAAGGACTTGTTTCCCACTATGATCTCCTTCATTTCCCAAATATTCTTCTTCCCTTTATCCTTCCTATGAGGTGAAGTGGACAGAGCCTCAGGGAAAACACTGGAGTTAAACTGAGATCACACAAATGTGAAGGAGAGGAGAAAGTAAACATCCATTGCTGAACCAGGGACAGCATGTGAAGTTTATGCTATAGGGTCAGGGAAAACACTGTATTTGAAGTTAATCTGTGCTTAATATTTACTGGCAAATATGCTGCCGAACTATTTAAGGCCAGATTACCTCCTGATTGATTCAAGATCATGTCAGAACAAAGCAGCAAGTGTGTATTTTCCACTGACTGCTATAACCATGATCTTCTCTTGCCCAAAGGTAGCCATCTCAACCAGGCAGGGTGAGTGCCAGAGGGTCACACACACCTCAGCTTCTGCTGTGGATGCACTTGAGCACTGACCGTTGGGCAGCGAGTAGAATCACAGAATCATATGAGTTGGAAAAGACCTCTAAGATCATCGAGTGCAACCACTAACCCAGTATATCCAGGTCCACCACTAAACCCTGTCCCTAAGCACCACATCTAAAAGAGAGCAAGAACCTTCCCCAGACACTGGTAGGCTTATTTTTGTCTTGGGCCATGCATGGACTATGTTGCTTTATGGATTCAAAAGGCACAAGTGATGTGTTAGAAAGCTGGGGAAAAGAGACCAGGATCCACCTGTAATGTGCCCTGTCTGGATTCCAGCTGCTCCAGCAGAAATGGAGAGGCACTGATTACAGCCTCAGCTATTCAGAACATGTGTGATTATTTATGCAAGAAGACTGATGAAAGGCAAACTTAAAGGAGCAGATTTCTCAAAAATTAGAGTTTTGCTATGTAAAACAAACCCCAGGCTGATGGTGCCATAAGCAGAAGCTGGCGTGGGACAAGCTGTCTGCCTGTCTGTCTGGGCATTGTTATTGCATCCATCACCCATGCGTGCCAGGACCAGATTTCCGGAAGGAGTTAAACATGTAGCTTTTGTGGAGATCAATGGGGATTAGGCACTGAGGGGCTTTGAAATCCTGCTAGGTAGGCTGGGGAGTGTTTGGAGAGCTAGCTGCTGGTCCCTCAGGTCTCCAGAGACACTGGAGTATTTAGCTGCAGTAACTGAACTTCCAGAGATGGCTTTGGTCTTGTGTCCAGGCTGTTCAAGGATAGTGAATATTCCGACTCCACCATGCAGGGAAGCCCCCTCTGCCATTATTTTCCTAAATAATGCTGTATGAATCATACAAGCTGGAAAGGGAGTTTTCACAAGGGCTTGTAATTATAGGACAGGGGAGTACAGCCTTAAGCTGAAGGCAGATAGATTCAGATTGGGTATTCGGAAGAAATTTTTTACACTTAAGTGTGGTGAGGCACTGGCACAGGTTGTCCAGAGAAACTGGATGCCTCATCCCTGGAAGTGTTCAAGACAACATTGAATGAGGCTTGGAGCAACCTGGTCAAGTGAAAGGTTCCCTATCCATGTCAGTGGGGCTAGAACTAGATGATCTTAAAGGTCCAAACAATTTTGTGATTCTATGACTCTTTATTAAACCCTGGAAATTTTCTGTGCTGCTTTCTGTGAGGCAAACCCTTTGAGCAGCCTACTACAGAGCTGAGCTGTAATTTGGCTTTTCAGAGCTCACAGTAAGAAGGTTTATTTCATCTTAAAACTCAATGCTCCTAAAACCCACCATACTCCCTGGATGTAGTTTGGGCCAGAGCAGAAGGAACTTGAATTCCTGCAATGTCTCTAATGAGGGATGAATTAGGAACATGCTGGAGAACCCATCACAGGGGTCTGGCACTGGCCCTGTTGTCACAGTGTGTTTTGCTCCTTCTAGAAAATGACCGAACCCTTCTGCTGGGTTTCAGAATTCCTGCAGTTAGATAATCAATTTTCTGCTCTACTCTCCTGCACTAAGTTTGCTGAATTGGGATGATGAATGCAAGCTTCTGCATCAATTTCCTAGTTAGGAATTAACTGGGGTTACTCTAATGAAATCTCTGAATGTGAGCAATCAAGGCATTCAGTGACACAACTCTTTGTAGGAGCAAACAAAATTAATCCACTGGAATCAGAATACCTTGAACACCATAAGGAAGAGCCGCCTATGACCTACAAAACAAAAGGATGTCTTACTCTCACACATGCTTGACAGGAAATGGAAAAAGTGTCCCCTACTGGTATGGTCCATTTCTACTGTATTACCTGCACACACGGCAAAACTGGTAAAGCATCATTTCAGCAATGGGGTTTTATGCTTGTCAGTGCTAAAGCAAACCAGGCCATGACACAGACATATACAAAATTCCCATCAAGAGAACAATTTGCCATGCAGGGAAATTACACAAGGACAAGGGGAATGCTTTCCACATACTTAATGTAATTCCAAGTCAATGTCCTTTCATTTGTGCCAACATAACTAGCTTATTACTCCTGCTAAAACCATTCAATTTTCCTGAATATTTACAACTTTGCCAAATCTCCTTGACATTCTACACATTAATCAATTAAATATTCTGTAGGAAATAGTGTTTACAGCTTCAGAGGCGGGAGACTATGTCCAAATTTGTTTTTAAATCACCATGCAAGGAGATGAAAAGGGGGGAAAGTGAAAAGAAACAGAGTTGCTCCAGCACTTCAAGTATCCAAGAATGATTCCTAAGCCAAGCCAGAGCTGCAAGAGGCAGGTAGCAGCACACAAAATGAGAGTGTGCACCAGTAAAATCTCAGTGCTGACTGCATTGCAGTGCTGGCCTTCCCCATGATAACATTTATACTCAGAGTGAGGAATACTACAAATAAATTTAATTACCATGAAAGATAAAAGCTTGTTGTTCGAAAACAGCCCAGGCATATCAGCTGCATGGAGAATTATCATATACTGAACTAATGGCATTTTGGTTTTACAGCAGAACTAATAAAATGGCACTAAGGGGATGAATCAGGCTTTTTTTTTTTTTTTTTTCCCTGCATAAATAAGTTCCATATAAAACTGTCCCCTGAATTTGGGGCCTTTTGCTGAAATTTTTTTTAAACTCTTTCGTGAATCTTTGCTGCTTTCCAAACCAAACTGCTTGAATAAAAGGCTATGAAATAGTATTATGGAAACAGAGAATTTCAATTAACATAGGACTGCTCTCTTTTAATTTTAAAATAATTTAAGAAATGTGGGTTTTTCAATCCCTTTCTCAGGAAAAGAAATTAAAGCTGCTAGGGACATCAACAAGAAAGCGGAATGCAATGTCTAATGAGATAGAGGAAGTTTTAAAAGCTAGATATTTTTCATTAGGGGGATGCATGTGGAGACCATAATGTGATAGGGTGACATTAGCATAAATAAATGATAAGCAGAATTGAGCCACAGATATGGTTTGTACCATTATCCTAATGCTGAAATTAAAATACTGAGATCAAGCTTCATTTCCTGTCTTTGTGTGTGCAAATGCACCTGGTGTTCAAGCAAGGGAAGTGATGTCTCCTATAACTAAGCTGCTAATCCGCACAATAACTATGCTGGTATTTGCCCAGGTATTGCTAGTGGTTAGTCTTGATGAAGTGTGATTTTTAGTGATCATGATATAATGAAAGTAACATAGAGGTAAATTTTCTTGTCTTTAAAAGAAGCTGATTAAAATAAATGACTGAATGAGAATTTTAATTCTGGAGCAATTCTTTTACAGTCAACTGAATTTTTTCAGGTCCACACAGGCATTATTGAGAACAGAACTGGATTCACTAATTTAGTTTTCTATTAATATACAATAAAATGTATCTGGGGAGTTTAGGGTTACTGATTTAATAGCATGACTACGGAAGGGGAACTGAAGAGGCTGAATGCTTGACAATCAGAAAGACGGAAGAAGGGAAAATGCATTAAGTAGTTAAGTGAAAGAAGGAAAAAGGTGAAGCCAAGGCAGTTCATTAATGATTCTGCAAATTGCTTAATATGAGAACTGAAGCTCTTTGCATGATTTAGGCATATTGTTGGCTTATTAATAATAACATCTATAATAAGAGACCTGACAGAGTGAGCTCATGAGTAGTGCCACTGCATGAGGAATACAGAACCAAAGTGAGAGGGAAGTGAAATGGTTAGAAAGGTAACAGAACAGACAAGGGATAAGCAAGACAGAGTTAAATACCAGCCAGAAATAATCTGTCTGCAGTTTCCTCTTTTATACTGGCAAGCAAAGTGACAGTGCAAATAATGTAGCAAATTAAAGGGAAGAAAACTTAAAATCAGATGCATGTTTCTAAAAATGCTGTCACCATAGTACAGAGGAGTCTTGGAAGCCACAGAAAGACCTCTCAAGAGAGGTGAAGTGGGATGTTTTTAAAAAAGCTTCTAGCTGACATTTAAAGGCTTGCCAATACACCACATAGGTGTACTTCATGTCTGATAATAAAAAATATATATAGCCATGTCACCAACAAATGAAAGGACATATTGTCTTGTTTCCACATGAAAATGTATGATGTCAGAATTTGAAATCCAAGAACAAAGGTGCTCATGCTACACTAGAACACACATATTCAATTAAGCATGCGCCTTTTCTCCTCCCTGATCATCAATTATTCTCTTAAAAGGAGTCGAGTTTTCTTTCTCCCTACCAATAGTGCAGTGCTCTCCGTTCCAGCCCGGGCTGCATTCACACTTGCCGTCCCGGCAGGTCCCGTGCTCATTGCAGCGTGGGTGACACGCTCGCTGATCACAGGCTGTGCCCATCCAGCCCTCCTCGCAGCGGCAGGTGCCTCCGACACAAATGCCATGTCCTCCGCAGTCCGCTGCACAAATCTCTGTGGGAGAGGAGACAACAGGGAGGAGGGGATACGGGTGGAGAGAGAGAAGGGAGAGGGGGAAAATCCAGAGTGTTACTGTCAAGAAAAGCAGACACACTTCACTACCTCGCCTTACGGGGCAATGAAAGGAATTCCTAGAGCTCATAACACTAATCCTTCCTGACAATAAGAATCTAATAAGTATATTACAAAAAAGAGATGGACATGGATTGCAAGGGTCTGCTGTGATTGATCCTCCTATTTGCTTTCTAATTCTCTTGCACTCCCCAAGCTTTTGTGATGCTTAAATCCAAAGGGGAAGGCTCTTCCAATAAGCAGAACAGAAGTCACATTTAATTAAAATCTGGTTAAGTGTGGAAACAATATGCTGATAAACTACCGATGCTAAAGTTAGGTGCTGGCAAAGCCTGTTTATGACTTCTTAAACCACGGTTTTGGGGATGGGATTCATTAAAACCCTTATTCTCTATTTAAATTTAAGAAAGGATATTTCTATTTCTACCAAATCTGCACATCCTCTATGTCCCTATCCTCCCGCTACCCATTAAAAATCCCCTCTCAGACATTCAGAGGTACAACTGTATCTTTTGTGAGCCACATGCATTGGAGCTGATAGGATGGTGCTTGTTCCCAAGTCTTATCAGAGTTAATGGAAGCACAGTCACAGCTGGATATTTTGGTACTTACCGCCAAAAAGCAAAGAGCTAAAGGACCTTGCCTTTTCAGGGATGATGGCCTTCCCAAACCTCCCTGAGCCCCAACAGGCCTGAGGACATAGGCATAATGTTTTTATCCAGAACTAGACTTTTGTCTAAAACCTGGCATAGCCTTGGCATGAATTTGGGAAACATGTTTTTATCTACATTGTATTTATCTGGAAAAACCGAGACTTGGTGGAGAAGTGATATCCATGAATCAGGTGTTAAAGTCCCTGTTTAACACCATTACTATACAGCATTGAGTTCAAGGAAAAAAAAAACAAACAAAAACAAAAGCCCAAATACTGATGCAGTGTAGCACTGCAGATGAAATTAAATTAATCTATTTCTTCTCCAGACTCATTACGTGGCTGCTACTTTCCATCTCTCATAAGCCCTGACTATACTCTCCTGTCCTCAGTTAAAGGAGAGACAATTCATAGTATTTCAACCTATGAGGTCTTTTCTCTGACTTCTGCCTGGTGCTTCTATGTTTTGACCTCAAGCCTTCGGCTTCACTGAGCCATTTCATAGATTTTACAGGGTAAAGACACAGTTCCTTTTGGGGACATGGAGAAGTGAACAGAAGAAATGCTGAGCAGGGCTGGGTTGGAAGCCCAGAAAGGGGTACCAGAGTACTCTGCAGTGCATATTTTTTCTCTGTGTCACTGGCTGCATATAAAATATTCAAAACTACTCAGCCTGCATTAACATCACACCTGACTGAAATTCAGCCATACTTAAGTTGCTTTTAGTCTTTTGCTAATGAATACCCCATTTACAGGACACTTGGGCTGTTCAAGAAGTTTTGATATGCTCCTGAGAGGGCTGGAACATTCACTTCAGCTCCAGGAGGAGCTGCACCACAGCAGAGAGCTGCAAGGTTTAAAATCCCTTATGACTAAACAGACTTATGATGAAAAGGATCAGAGAGCTCTTTGGACAATGGTAATTTATGCTAAGAACAGCAGTAATGCCTTGCATGTCTAGAAAACACCTTGTTTTTCAAATGTGACATGAGAACAACATCTAGCTCTTGCTTCCCAAAAAGCTCAGGGTGGTGGGTCAGTTTCCAGCAAAACTCCTTCTACTGCAGCATTGTGGATGTCTCCGAACTCCCTCAAACATTTAGTCCTACATGCTTAAGTCTCCTAGTGAAAGAACTCTGGAGTTCAAATGGGCTAAAGACACTCAGAAACTTGTCTGTATCATTCAGAATCAAATTTGCAAAAGAGTATTTAAACAGAGCATGTGCACACACCATGTGCTGTTGAGATGTAACAGAATCTAGCATAGGTTTTATTAGAAGCAAGTAGAAGTTACACTATCAAACAATAAAGGCATGGCTGAGGAAGGGCTCGAGTTGCTGTCAGAAGTTTTTAGTTTGCATATGGCATCCAGAGACAGATTTTCACAGCTCCTAGCTGCGAGGGAGGTAATATCATACTACAGTACCCGATAAGAGCCTAAGGGATGGACAATTATTGAAACCCATCCTTGCTGAAGGGCTGGAGTCCAGACATATGTTTTCTACTTTTTTCCCCAACTGCCAGACAGCACCGCAATGGAGTGTGGGCCGGTCAGGGTGGTGATGAACACACATGACCTGCAAGTTGGTTAATATAGCAGTAAAGCTGCACTAAAAAAAAAAAAAAAAAAAAAAAAAAAAAGTAAATTTGGTTCCCCTTGGTTGACCTGATAAACAAAGTCTAGGGGAGGATAAAGGGAACAGCAGATTAAAAATCAAAAGCTAGATTGATGCTGCTAAAATTTCAGCAAGCTGAGAAGAAATACCTTGAGAAAGTACAAAGTCTGAGAGTACTCGTATTTAAGCCTGAACTCCAAAAATTATTATTGTAGTCCCTGGTGCTTTCCAGGACACTTTTACCATAGGGCTACTCTAGTTAGATTGCAACTGCTTCTCTGGTTATTAGTTTACATTCTTTATTCATAAGTGTTGAACATGGATCTCAGAATATCAAATAAGATGTAATTTTTCTTGCTTCCAGTTTACCCAGCAATCTAGAGGATGCCAACTTGGTCACTTCACACCTTCATTATATCCTGTTCTTCCTCTTTGTAAAAATTTCTTAATTATATCTAGGCTAAATCTACCCTCTTTTAGTTTAAAACAATTATCCCTTTTCTTATTATTACTCTATTAAAATGTCTGTCCCTATCATTCTTATAAGCCCCTTTTAAATAGTAAAAAAGCCACAGTAAAGTCTTCCAGAGCCTTCTGTCCCCCAGGCTGAACAGCCCCAGCTGTCTCAGTCTGTCCTCATAGCAGAGGTTCCTCAGGCCTCTGGTTATCTTTGTGGCTTCTAGACTTGCTCAAACAGGTCCACATCCTTCTTGTGTTGGAGACCCCCACAACTGGATCCCAGAACTGGATGCAGCACTTCAGATGGGGTGTCATAAGAGAGGAGGGGTAGAATCCCCTCCCTCACACTTCTGGCCACACTGCTTTGAATGCAGCCCAGGGCACTACTGACTTTCCTGGGCTATGAGAGCACATGGCCAGGTCATATCCAGCTTTTCATCCATCCCCAAGTCCTTCTCCTCAGGGCTGCTCTCAATCCCTCATCCCCAAGCCTGTATGGATACCAAGGGCTCCCCTGACTCAGGTGCAGCACCTTTCAGATAAAGCAACCAATGCATAAAGAAGGAAAGTGATGGATCCACAGGTAAATGTGAACTCTGAGACAGTTACATGAATGCTTTGATGTCCCAATATGCAGTCTTGTGTCTTACAGCTAAGATGGAAACATCAGATGTCTACAGATGGTGGTGAAGAAAAAAAAAACTAGAGCTAATAGGAATAGTGACAGTCAGAAGCCTTCTTGGAGTTATTTAACGGTGTCAAACTAGGATAATGGAGTGCATTCAAAACTGGTGAAGAGAGAAAAAAAAAATCATGTTCTGAAAAGCAGAGTCTCTGTGCAGTCATTCCTATGAAAAAGGATGGAAAACCCCCAGGGACATTTGCATCTTGACTGAAATATTTCTCAGACAACATTCTGCCAAGGAACAGTCTTGCACATGTAGGCCACGGATATGCACTGCATGGTATAAACAAACAGGTCTTAGGCTAACCCAGAACGGGAATGCTGAGAACATTTCAGGTTTCATCTCCCACCCAGCTGAGACCCCAGCCAAAGCACCACCCATGCACACAGAAGTGTGCAGGTTCCAGGTTATGAATGTGTAATTCACATATAATGGATATATGAGGTGGTTTGGACTCCCGGGCCCCAAGAGTTGTAATATAGACTCTCAGCCATGAAAAACACTTGTGAAGCAAACTACTTAGGACAGTCTCCCTAAAATGTAGTTTAATTATTTCTGACAAGGAACCAGGAGCCAGGAACTCTCAAAACTAAATCTTCCACTTAGTGCCAGTTTAAAGATAGATGGGTACCCTACAATTTAAATACTCTTACAACACACAACCCGCTACATATCCTGGTCCTTTACAACACAGCCCTCTTAAATGCTCACAGGTTTCTAATTAGTGATTAAATAGTCAGAATAGCTTTTACTTTTCTTGTAGCATGCTAAGAAATTATCAAAATGGATTTCAGATTAAGCTTCCACTTAAATACATGTCTTTTTGGACATAAAAAGACAGCTAAGGCTGTTTTATAGAACAGGGAAGATGAATAGTTTCTTTGTCATTCAGTCTCAGAGACAGAATTTGTCACCTCTGTTCTTATTACAAGCTGCATTTTTTGGTACATTTCCCAATTCTATTGTTAAAATGAGAAGACATGATTAGCTACCATCTGAGCTGCATGAACAAATGAGAAGGAAAGCTTTTAATTCTCCTATTACAGTATTCTCAGACTGGCCAGCTGCACTACATTGCTCCTGACTATTTAAGCTTAGTTGTAACACTCTGCCTGTGCATAAAAGACCTGTCCGTTAAATATTTTCACACCAGCTGTTCTCAAAAGGTGACTAAATATTTCCTTTTATCTTTAATCTCATCCAGTGTTTGTATGAACAGCTTAGCCCTCCTTATCCTTTCCTAGAGGTGCACTATGTTTTACCTCATTTCACAGTGTAGCTCTCAAAGCTGTTTGTAGTTCCTTGAAGAGAGGGGATCTTCTGAGTAAATCTGGCACCCAATTCTAAGAGCAAATATGAGGCTTAATGTCCTCAATCCAAGCATCTCTGTGAGAAACACCTGGACTTTGAGTATTACCCTATATTTTGCTCCCTTATGTTTGTACTTACAAGAGGGCACTGATGGATAGTAACTGATTCAGGGATGCAGACTTTTTTCCTAAGGAATCA